TGTCACCCAGGCTGGAGTGCAGTGGTGCTATCTTGGCTCACTGCAACCTCTACCTCCTGGGTTCAAGCGATTCTCCCACCTCAGCCTCCCAGTAGCTGGGATTACAGGCATGTGCCACCATGCCTGGCTACTTTTTTGTATTTTTAGTAGAGACGGGGTCTTATCATATTGGCCAGGCTGGTCTCAAACTCCTGGTCTCAAGCGATCTGCCCGCCTCGGCCTCCCAAAGTGCTGGGATTATAGGTGTGAGCCACCACACCCGGCCAGACTTTTTTGTTAACAGTCTTTCAACCTTTTCATGGCACACACGTAAGGCTGCCTGTGACATGTGGTGCCCTGGCCTCCAACTGGACATAACTGCATTTATAGTTTAGAGAAAATACAAAGTTCTGAAAGCATCCTTAAAAGAAGTGCCCTTTGCTTTGACACAGCAATGTCAAAAGCAAGTGGGACTGTGCAATCAGGGCCATGAGTTTTATGAAAACTCCTTTCCTTTCACATCATTTGTTAGAGAATGCTGTACGCATGATCATGTAACATTATTACAATCATGAAATATTACTACATTCGTGATTAACATTACCCAAAAGGCACATCTTCAAATGTTGAATTAAGAAAATCTGAAAATGAAAACAGTAGAGACTACATTAAAAATCAAGCATTTAATTTGTAAACCTTAATGAAATAACAGTTTACTCCAGTTTCTTCAAACGTTTGTGAGCTTTTTGTAAGAATGGTCAGGAAGTGCAGAAGAATAACATGGAAGACAGGATTTGGAAGCAAGGCCAAAATTTAAAAGACTTAACCTTTTTTTTTCCTTTTAAATGAGCCACAGAAGTGATCTTTTATAATGTTGATGGAAATCAACATTTGTGTTATAGAAATGCACTCAGAAGTAACAGACACATAAGGTTAAAACCTGATTTTTCCTACTAAGTTCTGGAAATGTATTCTAACACAATGGTGCCTTTCTGTACAAATAACGGTACCATATCATAAATTTACTGCTAGTACACTTTAAGCCACCAAAAATGTTTCAGCTGTGAAAAGCACTTGATTGTAATGACAGATTTCAGAGTCTGAATGTTGAAAAAAATATATATCCAAGAAAAAACGTTTGAAGGGGGAATAAAAACACATAAATGGCAGCAGAGGAACTGATGTTCTAAGCCTGTTTTATTACATGGGACATCACACTACCCTTAAATCAATTTCACTGAAGGTATTTGGGATGGGTGAAATGAAATCAATAGGATTTCTGCTACCAGTGTGACAGTTCTATACACAGTTACAAAGGGTGTTATTCCCAGTGATGAAGACACCTTTCATGGGATTCAATTTAAAAATTAAATCTTTGCATTTTGAAAGTTTGAAGCTCAATTCAAAACAAGTCAGTCTTAAAAGACTGGCTCATCAGAAGATCAAACACCGCATGTTCTCACTCATAGGCGGGTGTTGAACAATGAGAACACATGGACACAGGGAGGGGAGCACTACACACTGGGGTCAGTTGGGGGGAAATAGGGGAGGGACGGTGGGGGGTGGAGAGTTGGGAAGAGATAGCAAGGGGAGAGATGCCAGATGTAGGTGATGGGGAGGAAGGCAGCAAATCACACTGCCACGGGGGTACCTATGCAACAATCTTGCATGTTCTTCACATGTACCCCAAAACCTAAAATGCAATAAAATAAATTAAAAAAAAAAAGACTGGCTCATATGGTCCCATTAAGGAAGGCTAACAATGGTAATCTGTAATACCCAAACTTGAAGAATAAAGAATTTATGGATAAAAAGGAATAAACCAAAACATTTGGTCTGCTGAAGTGTAAGGGCCTGTTGTAGGACAATCCCTCTTACTTCCTAAGCCCTACCATACAATGGCTTAAGAAAGCCAGAACATTTATTGTAGAACTGTTGTACAAGCTGATGTCTCACTTACCCCAAGCCTTCGTACTTACAGTCAAGGACAAATGCTCTCTAGCATCATATCTCATTTTCTGTTGCAGACAGTTCTTGAGACTTGGCTTCCTTCCAGCTTCATCCTAAGTCAGCCTGATTGGAACTGCCTGGACTTGAAGCTTAAGGGATTTCAAGTCTATATTTATGACTTTAAAAGGGTAAAAATGAATTTCCACAGCTCAGTAAAATACTTGATAACAGGGAACATCCCTTCCTACCCGGGCGGAAAAATCTCTTCACAGTGCATAGTTTGAAATCAAAGAGCAATATGGGCAAAAAGAGAAGATGGCGCTCTCGATAACCGTAAATTTAGTTTTTGGTTTTCTGCCTTTAATATTTGCTAACGAATTCAAGCTAAAAATGAAAAGTCATTAATGTCAAGAGGTATGGGGGCACCTTGGGATTTCAAAATATCTTTATGATGGGGGAAGGGAGTGGGGAGCCTCACATGTTACTTCCTTATTTTATAAACTATTACTCTTCAAATCTCATCTTTGAATAAAATATTTTTTCTTCAATATACAAATGATTTTTTTTAGATAAAAAAATCAATCAGCACAGTGACCTTGTCTATCTTACACTAAAGCCAACATAACTGAAAGGAAAACTTAGAAAAGAATATTTATACTGTTATAACCTGTATTTTAACTTAAAAATTTTTTCATTAATTTCTAACCACTTAAATTAATGAGTCAGAATGCTCAGCATCCAATCCATGAATAATACAGAATATAATTTATTCTACTTTGTACTTCAAAGTCACAGGATGACATCCATAAGTTAGTTATAAATCCTACTCTACATTTTCAAGTTCTCAATCCATAGATTAGGACAAGTCACTTTATTGCTGGCAACATTCATGGAAGGTCCAGGTTTCTCATAAAAAGACTAAGTTTGATTGGGAGCAGGGCAGTACCCTACTCACAGATTAGCAGAAGAATAACAGAAGTCAAGAGACAACCTTTTTTTTTTCCTTTCAAAGTAGCAAAGGAACAATAAAAGATTGGCTGACTGGTGAGTGGCCCCACATTAGAGTACATAGCTCATCAGGATCAAGGCTGGCATCTCTGAACAGTTAACTTCATAAGAGCACAAGTGGGCATTATATCATCTGCATTACAGATTTCACCCTGGAAAATATCTGAAAATATTTTATGCTCAAATGACAGTATGCATTCCTTCTCCTTGAGTACCCAAGTATAAATCTAAATGATAAGGAGGCTTCAGTCTGAAGGCAGGAAATCCTTGCAGCAGAGAATTTCACAAAAATAAAAGCAGCTGCTAACGCCTCTTCAGCTTCTTGGCCCTTCGACGTTGCATTTCTTCTTCTTCACGTCTCATTTCCTCTAAGTCCTCTTGCATACCTAGTCTTAAGTTCTTTGCTTCTTCCTTCTGCTGCTCTTTCCAACTACTTTCCATGTAACGTAAGGCATAATCACTTTCATCTTTGTATTTTTTTTGGTCATAACCAAAGATTTCTCTAATGTGCTTGGATATTTTTTCCTGAGGCTCTCCTTTATCTTCGATAAAATCTTCCATTTCAGAGTCATATTCATCATCATCGTCATCCTCCTCTTCATAATCTCGCTGCCTTTTGTAACCAGTAGGGAAGGGAAGCCTTTGAGGACCTTGGGCAGATCTGTAGCCATATAGGGGTGACTTCATTCCATTCATCTGTCCATTGCTGGACTGGCTAATGATATTCTTGGAAGAAATTGTTTCTGAGACAACAGTACACTTAGGCTTTATGGTGGGACCTGAGCTACTAACTGTTTGCCCAGGTCCCAAGCTACTCACTGGTCTTCCTGGGACTGAACTACTGACAGTCTGCCCAACTGGAATTGAGCTACTTATGGATCTCCCCAGGCCACCAACTGAGGCCTGAGCCACTCACTGGTTGTCGAAGTTCATGTGGACTGCTCGTAGGCCGCCCAGGGCCAAGAGAGCTGCCCAACAGTCTTGCAGAACTACCTGAACCACTGATAGGTCGCCCAGGGCCACTTGAGCTGCTTGCAGGTTGTCCAGGGCCACATGTACCAGTGACTGTCCGCCCAGAGGGATGTGAGCCATTGGTTGGCTTCTTGGACCCACTGATTGATCGCTCAGGTCCTGAGCTGGGGCTGCCATTCTGGCGCCTGGGCACAGCGCCAGAACTAATTGTGGGCCGAGCAACTCCTGTGCTGGGCTGCCCAGGGGCTGAGCTAGAGCTGCTGCCTAGCTGCTTGACACCTGGACTCTTAGCCTTATCGTGTGGGGTGACCATGGACCCAGGCCTGGAATGGCTAGGATTGGATGGAGATTTTTTGGCTTTGTGCTCCATAGCAGATTTCTGAGTCCTGCTAGCAGAAGTCTTTGGAATACTTGGTGAACAGGTGCTGGAAGGAGGCTTTCCAGCTCCATTGAAAACAGGTCTGTCATGACCCTCACGAAGTAAGGGTTGGGAGCTATTGCCAGATCCTGTCTTGATCCTCTCTCCTGGCATGGATTTGGATGAAGACAAAGCTAAGTGCTTCTCATTGGCCATCATGGGTCTTGATTTCTTCTCAGCATGAGGAAGGGGCATTCCTTTGGAAGAAGGATGCCTGTCTCCAGAAGCTTTGCTAAGTTTTGTGCCCACACTTTCTGAGAGGGTGTCTTTTTGGACACAGTTGGAGGTAGTTTAGCATCTGTCTCAAGTTTTTTTCTCCTACGCTTTCGTTCAAGGAATTCTCCCTCCCCAGGTTCTTCTGCAGTCATAGGTCGCTTTTCTGATTTCTTCACTACCTTGATGTCCACTGGTTCAAACTGCTTTTTCTCAGCCAGTCTGAGTAAATCAGTGAAGTTCATGGGTGGTGGGGCACTTTTAAGGGGGACCTTTGGTTTGCTTTCAACTTTGGGAGGTTCTTGCTCTTCCTCATACTCCTGCTCTGACTCTGCATGATTGTATTCAAGGAATTCATTCTCTTCTTCCATTTCATACTCTTGGTCAGTTCCATTGCCTGCCTCTTCTTTGACTTTTCCTCAGTAAGGATCCCATCGTAACCATGGAAATTATCCTTTGTCCTCTTGGCCATAGCTCTTGCTTTCTTGTCATGTTTGAGCTCAATTCGCTTTTTCACTAGTTCTTTTCTCCTCTTCTCCTCTAAGGCTTTTTGTCTGAGTTCCTCTTCTTTCCATTTAAGAAAAGTCTGTACAGCTGCTGATTGGACACCTTTAACTTTTGGGTCTTTTTTTGGAGGCCCCACTGCCAAACTATACCTTTTTGGCACATTGTTGACACCTTGTCCCTTGGAAGCTATCAGGAGAATTTCTCTGAAGTCCATGTTGGGCCGAGGCAGGAGAGGCTGGAGAGGCTGCGGCCAGGCACTCGGAAAGGGCTGACAGCACACCTAACCGAGGCGCCCAGCTACAGCCAAGTGCACGGCCTCGGCAGTCCCACTCCCACCCCTCATGCTCTTTTTATACAAAGTAGTAAAGCCATTTGTACATAGTGGCAATTAAGTGTGTACATTTCATTCTTTTTCCACTTAACATCAATTCACATCAGCTTTTCTATATACTTGGCATAGTTCACATTTGCCTATATATATATGTATATGTTTGCCTATATATATCATATATCTAGATTCGCCTATATATATACATATATATAGATATATGTATATATATACACATATATATATAATGTTTAGGTTTGCTCTCTTTATTTAAACTTACTAAGATTTTGTTATTGCACCAATACCTGAGAGTTTTGCCTTTGAAACTACCTTTTTTCATACATGGATTGAAGGTTTCCTCCTCACTTTTTATCTGCCCAACAAGCTAAAAACGAGAATCTACTGGTGGAAAGATAAACCTGTATGATTGTTTTTTTTTAAGGTTGGCTACTATCTAACTGACACTTTGATTTTTTTCCTTTTTTTATATATGTGAGTGTGTGTATGTGCATGTGTGTGTGTAAAACAAAAACAAAAACCAAAAAAAAAAAAAACAACGTATTCCAGCATGGTCTTTCACTCTAATTTTCAAAATTGTTCTCCTTTTACAAAGTGATGCAATATTTGATGAGTAAATAACATGGAATGAAAAAGTCCACTTTAGGACAACTGCACTAGACAGGATGAGAATACAATGTTCTTTCTCATGGCATTTCAGGCTCACATGAGGAAATCATTCTCTTTTTCTTTGATAAACTTGTTGACGGAATGCTGACAATGATAAAATTGTCTTCACCAGAAGCTAGAAGAAAAACAATATTTTCAGGATAAAAATAAGTAAAGTCTTGAGTTACACTGAATAGTTTTAGAATCTTTGAATGAGATAGCCCAAACAGAGAAAATAAATGTTTGTGAATTTCTGAAAAATAATCGTCTATAACATTTAAAAGTACAATTTAGACTGTACTTAATGATTTGTGTCTTAAATCCATACTCCTCACTTAGCACGTCAAATAGCACAAATTCAGTTTACTTTGGATTCTCATTTCTCAAGAACACAGCAGAAAAAGGCCGAAGTATAGCTACAGACTACGGTATAAAGTTAATACACATTCTTAGAAGCGTTCCAAAGACCAATGTAGTCAATGTATTTTTACTGTGTACTCTACACTAACAAGTTTTATGTTATGGGATTTAGACCCATCAACAATAAAGTTTAATCACAGTGTGGCAGAAAATAGTATTCAATGTATAACCAAGGATGAGAAGTCATAGTTAAGACTCTAATAGAGGCCTGGTGCAGTGGCTCATGCCTATAATCCCAGCACATTGGGAGGCCAAGGTGGGCAAACTGCTTGAGCCAAGGAGTTTGAGACCAGCCTGGGGAACATGCTGAACCCTGACCCTACAAAAAAAATACAAAAAAATTATTCAGACTACAGTGTGTACCTGTAGTCCCAGCTACTAGCGATGCTGAGACAGGAGGATCGTGAGCCAAGATCACACACCACTGTACTATAGCCTGGGTGATAAGAGTGAGACCCTGTCTCAAAAAAAAAAAAAAAAAAAAAAA